ACAGTATGGTGAGGGGCGTAACATTTCCGTCTCACGCTTGAGGTATTCGGCCAATCACAACGCACTGGATCGCTGGCCAATCAGAGCACACCTCGCTTTTCAGAACGATGAGCTTTGTAAAAATCGATGCGTTTCAGAAAGGCGGGGCAAAGAGAAACAATAATGTACAGTATGTGGAAAATAATGTGGTTTTTTAACCTTAAACCGCATAAACACATTTCATTACACCAAAATAATGTTCTTTTTAGCAACATCATAAGACCCCTTTAAATGCTGAACATTTTATCAAATGTAAATTACTGGCAGATTTCAAACGTTCTTATTACATTTCCAAACGTTTGACTGGTAGTTTGGTATGAAGTCTAATTCTCAGACTTTGTGGTTCAAAAATAACATGTAAACCTACAGAACAAAGCTTCTTGAGCACTGTATTAAAAACGTGAAGTTGAAAGTTACCTCAGAGGAGGATTTTGAGCCAGACTTTGTGCGGGACATGAAGACACTGAGTAGCCTCATTATGACCAGGTGCACCTCGTTTATTGAGCTGCGCTCATTCTTCTTTGAGACATCCTGGAAACCAAAAATGACACAATCCATATTCTGTTTCCATACAAGAAAAATGCAAGAAAAATGAAAAAGTTCTTTCTTAATGTAGTCTCACCTTCTTGTGCATGCAGAGCTCTGCGATGAGCTGGGCTAGAAGGTCATCTAGCGCTCCTTTGTCTTTCTCGTCCTCTCCGTCCAGATCTGTGGTCAGCATGAGGATGACCTGCATGTAGGGGATGGCATGAACTCCACCTACAGTGTGGAGCTGGGGCAGGTGCTGCAAGAGACGCTCCAAGAGCATCAAACGCACCATGTGCAACCTGGAAAGAGGAGCGACACAGGCAGTTAGACAGTCATTATATAGAAACTCAGAAAGTTACCTTTATTTATATTGTTCTTTTATATAGCAATACAGATTGTTTTAAAAAAAGCTTAACTGTACTAAACAATAAAAAGGATATTTCTGGGCCTTAATTATGATTTGTTGAGCCACGTTCAAAGCCGTAGTAAATTACTCTAGAAATATACACCCATGACCTCATTAAATCAGTATTACTGTGCCACTGTATCATTGTGCTGCAGCTATTCTGTTATCAGTATTACGGGGCCAAAAGTGTTTAAAAATGTCAGATTTTGTTGTGAATTTTGACTTAATTGCTGGGCAAAGTGCATGCTAACCATTTTTATAAGCCCTTTGAAGCTAAAAATTCTGCTGTAAAGCAGCTCTGCCAAGAAAATTGTGTCATTAGGGCCTTTCACACCGCTTTAGTTCCAGAACTAAATGTACAGTACTAAAGTACTGGGACGATTTTGCGCGAACTATTTCCCAGTACCATTTAAATGGTTGCATTCGCACCGAGAGTGTGTACTAAGAAGTAACGTAAGCCGGTCGACAGCGATATCATTTGTGCGCGGCATTCAACAACAGAAACAAAGAAGAATTCTCGAAAAAGGCAGTCCGGTACTAAAATCACACCCAGTTCCGGCGGTGCGAAAACGCCAAAAAGTGGGTAGTTCCACAATTAGTTCTGGTACTATGAAAAGGTTCCCGCGGTGCGAAAGGCCCTATTATTCCGCCATTCAATGTTGATTCAGTTCAGTTCAATAAGTGTGAAAAGTTCAATTATGAAAGAAGTTCAAGTTCAGCTCTACAGAAAACAATCGTGTCATCATTCAGCTCAAGTTAGTTCAGTGTTGATTCAATTCAGTTCCATAACAAGTGTTGACATTGCGAAATTCATTAATTATGAAACATTCGATTCAACTATAAAGCTGCTAAATTCAGTTCAAGGTTTGTTCTAATCTAATAGTATCAGTGCAGGGCTGGCAAAATTGCTAGCCCGACATCCCAGGGCTATTGTGTCTTTCAGTCGGGCTACCAAAATGCATCACCGCCCTGCCCGATGGGCTATCTTAAATACGGTGTTCTCGCGGGTTCTTAAAAAGTCTTAAATTTAGTTGTATCAAATTAAAGGCCATAAAAAATCTTAAATACCTTAAATGGAATAAGTCGTAATAATAATTCAAGAGGTCCTACATTTGGGGACGGAAAGACAAGAATGGATGATTATGGATTAATGTGACGATTGAACTGCAAAAGGCTATAATTTCATTGAGTAAATAACAGCGCTGCACGTCAAAACGTGGCATGGGTGTTTTTATTTGAATGTATCTCTGAAGGAAACCGGCTATCTTCAGAAAAGTTTTGATGGCATTTTCATTTAATCTTTTAATGCCTGATAATGTAGCGTTTGTGAGTGCAGCTGCTTCATGTACAGCCGTTACCAGAGAAACCGCTATTTCTGCCGCTCCAAAAGAGCCACCTAGTGGCAGAAAATTAATTTGCATTTTCAAGAAGCCCGGTCTGATCTTAAAAATAATTGTACTAAATATTAGGTGTCTTCTAAACAAGCCAAAGGCAACAAACGTATATAAAGTATATTTTATTCTAGTTTAAAGTAGGAGACGAGTACTCCGTCCTGGAGACAGACCTGTTGCTGGTGTGGATGTCGCCCTCTGTCTCTCCTTCACCCTCTGATCCGTCTCCTTCATGCTGGGCCGTGGTGGTGCTGATGGCTCCTGTGCTGGAGCTCACGCTGCCCGGCCCTGCAGGGTGTCCTTCAACAGTCGTGTCCCCATAAGCACTGCTGCGGCCAGACACTGAAACACATACATAGTCCTGAGTGGATGAAATAATTTGTTCAAAAACATCACACAAACAGTAAAAATCGAGTCTTACCATTGTGTTCTCCTGCAACCGAGTCGATAGCGCTGCCTCCGCTCTCAGAGCCTACACTGCCCCCGTGCTCGGCGGGAGAGGTGCGCAGCGTGGAGCCGTCTGTGGCCGCTGTGCTCCCCTCATCATCCGAGGCTGGGGCTGAAAGCATAACCAGAGCTGTTACAGGAAAAAAACAGCAGGCTTTGCTAAGGGGGGTTTCTAAAGGTGCACAGGAACATATACATAGAAAAACAACCATATGTTTGAAAATTACTGTAATTGAAAGAAACAATGACATGAAGGGATGATAAGAGGAATGCTGGGTGAGCATACAGTAAGCATGACAGAAAGTAGGGGTGGGCAATCTTCTCAAAATATCATATAAATTTCTTATAACAGACAATCACGATCCACGATCTAAATCGCAATCTACCCAATTTTGAGATGTACTATTGAGAATATGCAGACTGGAACAAGCCTATGGACATATCTATTTCCACAATTTAAAACACAATACTGCATTAAACAATTAGTTGTCAAGATGGTCAATAAAACCCGAGTTAAACTTAAAACACTGCAAAGTCTTCACTGTATGAATTAAATTAATCTAATATACTGATGCATTTCTTTCCCAACCGTTTACGTCCACTTATATTCTTTATGTAAATACTTGAGACGGACATTGACATATTTTTGTGTATATTTGACTGTTTAGGCTGGCACCTGATTGTTTTTCAAATATGTGACCACGAATTCAAGACACATGGTATAATTTGGCTGGTCAGCACAGCCATCTAGCAGGTGGTCACTGCTGTACTTTTAACATTATTACGAGGGCATAAAAGATCATGATCTCTACGATTCGCTTTAAAAGTAGATTGTGGGCATCTTTAAGATCACAATACAAAATCGTCAGATCGTCCACCCCTAACTGAAAGAGTGTTTTGTGGAGAGGTGGGTGCAGTTACCTGATGCAGTGGTGTCTGAAAGGGTTCCTGCATCCAGGGATGAGGAGCTTGGGGCCTGACCGGATAGACCCAGACTCTGTAGACCCAAAGCACTGCTGCTGCTGCCTGCAGACACATACAATAACATATATTTCAATTTAGATGATGAATGACCATATTAGGGCTGGGCAAAAAAATATAAATCAGCGGAAGCATTTGATAGCATTCGGCCTCCATAAGGCGCCATGATTTCTGCAATGAATGGAGGATGGCGCGGCGCACTCTTTTGTTTACTACACACATACTAAAGCGCGGATGACGCTTGCGGTGTTTTCAGCTTCTGCCGTCTCACTATATGATGATATGAACACGAATGTCATCTC